ATGTTTAGATTTATTTTGGAATTCTGATTTTGAAAAGAAATATTCTAAGTCATATCATCGATCATTTGGAGCTAAGTAATGTCAAAACCTATAAAACCGTCTTTTAAAAGAAAATTTTAAAAGTTTATTTTTAAAGGCAATTCTAAAATACATGCTTGACCAGAGACTTAAAAATTAGGTTCGAAAGTTAATTATCTACGGGAAAGAGTTAGCACCCCATAACACCCACATTTGGTAACTCGTCGATTATATGGTGTCTTGATATTTGAATTTTTACAAATTTAAATTTAGTTTAAAATTAAGATCAAATTAATAGAACTTGTAAGTAATATAAACCAAATGTCTAATCATACAAATCTATTTAACTTTTATATCGGTAAATTAATTAACAATTAATGATAAACAACTTAATTGAAACTATTTTAATAATTTAATGACTTAATTAATAAAACTCATAGTTCAATGGTAAAAATAAAATTGCCTCTATAGTTTATTGACCGATAGGATACCTTAACCCAATTTTGGGAGCAAGCATCCAACCAGTCAAGTGATGACTAATTTATGAAGCAACGCAACCCTTTTTGAATACCCGTATGAGAGTAACAACATTCAGCAAAGACAAATATAGCAGCCCCAGGCAACTACTTGAATGTGTTTAAAATGTTAATTAAATACACGAATAAACAATCTAAAGTCCAACTTTGAGATTTAATAAATGAAAATAATAGAATATATAACGCCAGTAAGCTATAATCATAATTATAAAAATAAATAATAGTTATCAATGTTAAAAGATAAATTTATAAGTCAATTGATAAGTGGTTAAGTTTTTTTATTCCAGGTATAAACTGAATTTGTTTAATATTATTATTGTATTATATAATAAGATGTGAATTTAAATACATGATATTTTTTTTGAATAGAGTATATGATATTTTTTTAATTTATAGATAAAAAGATGAATTAAATAATTTAGATGTGTTTAAAAATAAGAAAAATAAAAATCTAGTTTCCTATATTGAAGGGGACGGAGGTTGAATCTCAGCCTCTATTAAATTCTTATTTTAGTCTCATTCGGCGAACACTAAAGTTAGCCAACTTTGAATACAATTATAATAGGATCATTTGAAGTTACATTTAAAATTCGATAATTAAATTGAGGATAAGCTATTTTTGACCTTTTAACAATAAAAAATACATATTTCAAGAAAAGAATAATATGATGTGTGGGTTAAATTAATTAAGGCATTGGTTTATCCGTAGAAAAATGTATATTATATTATGTGTAGGTAGCTTTTTAAAAAATTATAAAATAAAATTAATTAAAAATTGTAATTAATTTATTGTTACGATTTTTAATTTTATGTTAAGTTATTTTTGTGTCTATTCATTTTATGTTTTTCTTTTCTAATTGTTACTTATTTAAGAAAAATATGTATTTATACCGCCCACCATGTGCTGACAGGTCTCCACATATTTTAAGCCTGAATTCATTAAAAAAAAATTGCCATATAAGACACTTCATAGTATTAAGCAAGATTTATTATTTATAATATAATGTCATACAAGATATTATTTTTATAATGAAAGAATTCAAAGGAGGACGACGCCATTGTTGATTTTTCAGAACATGGTTACAGTCCCTGAATCTATAAATAGCAGAAAAACAATGAAGTGAAACACAACATCCCAAGCATTGCATTCAAAGAAACAAGCAAAGTCGACCACCTATTTTCTTCACTACCACAATGAGTTCTCAATCTTCAGTAACCAAGAGGTAATTAAATCCTAACGCAACGAATTTATTTTTGTAAGTTTGTTCTTTAACATAAAATCTTGTGCTCATTCATGGTTCGAATCATAACATCTAAAGGTTATTTCTTTCTTTGTTGGGTACAGGCTAGATGGTAAGGTGGCACTGATAACTGGTGGAGCCAGTGGCTTAGGAGAGTGTACAGCCAGGCTATTTGTCAAACACGGAGCCAAGGTTCTCGTTGCTGACATTCAAGACGATTTGGGCCACTCCCTTTGCCAAGACCTTGGAACTGAAAACATCGGCTATGTCCACTGCGATGTCACATGTGAATCGGATGTCGAAAACGCCGTGAACTTGGTGGTTTCCAAGTACGGAAAGCTCGATATCATGTTCAACAACGCAGGGATTATTGGTGACAATGAAGTAAGAGTGACGGACACCAGCACCGAGAACTTCAAGAGAGTGTTCGACATCAATGTGTTGGGTGGTTTCTTGGGTGCCAAGCATGCTGCTAGGGTCATGGTTCCGGCCAAGAAAGGCTGCATTCTCTTCACATCGAGTCTTTCTTCGAAAATCAGCTACGGCAACCCCCATGCCTACAAATCCAGCATGCTGTCACGGGGTTGACTAAGCTTGAGCGTCGAATTAGGCGAGCACGGAATCAGAGTTAACTGCATTTCACCTCACGCAACTGCGACCCCTTTGTTCCAGAAAACACTGGGGCTATTCGATAAGAAGGGGAGGGAGATGATTGCGGCTTCAGCAGTGTTGAAAGGCACCGTATTGGAGCCTGAAGATTTCGCCAATGCAGCACTGTTTTGGCCAGCGACGAGGCTAAATATGTGAGTGGTGTTAACTTGCCCATCGATGGGGGGTATTGTCTCAGCAATCAATCATGGAAGTTGGGATTCGCAGCACTTTCTCAGTAAACCGCCAACTTCTCAATTTTACTTTTTCCAATAATGATTTTGAAATAAGGAAAATTAAACTTCAAATCTACACATTTAGTAAATTGTATTGTGGAATCCGAGCAGAAAGACCATCGGACAGACTCTTTGTTTATCTAAGCTTCCACATAGCTCGCATCCTCTGAGTATAAGCTTTTGAACCAATTATAATACATAGACAATACCTCTAACAGGTTTACATGACATATAAGAACAAAATCTAAATTTGACAATCAAATCTATTTAGTCTGGTGACCTGCAAATAAGAACGAAATCTAAATTTAACAATTAAATCTATTTAGTCTGTTGACCTACAGATAGTTATAGTTACAGCCTGACACCACCAGTTAATGGTCAAATACCCAGTAGTCAAGATTAAGAAAGCCCTTAAACCTTCAACAATATAGACACAATCTTTATCTTCTTCTTTCTTATAAATCAACTCTCTATCAAAGAAATATTGATCAATGATTGTCTTCTCACCTATAACAATTCTTCATCCAAACTAGAAGAAGTGAATCGTCAATGATTAACGAGATAAACTTGTTCCCATCACCTCATTCCAAAACAGAGGAATTGTTTTAGAAGAGACAAAAAGCTTCTTTATTCTCTTGCACATATATGTATATATAATTAAGTTGTTGGTGGAGTTCTTCGAGACCACCTTGGTAACTTCATCACAGGCTTCAACAGGAATTTGGCTCTACCTCAGTCGTTGCAGCAGAGCTTTGGGTGTATTACAAGGTCTTTAGCTTGTTTGATCTTATGGTGTCAAGAAGATTCAACTTCTTTCTTATAATCAACTCTCTCTATCAGAAAAATATCGATCGATGATTATCCTCTCACCTGTAACAATTATTCATCCAAACCAGAAGAAATCAACCGTCAATGATTAATGAGATACACTTGTTCCCATAAACTCATTCCGAAACAAAGAAATTGTTTTAGAAGAGACAAAGAACTTCTTTATTCTCTCGCACATACATGTATATACATTTAAGTTGACGCAGCCTTTGATAGCCCCTACTCTTTCATCCGAGAAATAGTAAGACTCCTTAATAAAGCTTGTTGCGTGGATTTTAAACTCATTCGTCGCGAAGTAAATATGGTTGCAGATTTACTTCTCAAGACAGATGGAAACAACTCTAGTCAAACGGTGGTATTTGACTCCAAGATGCCACATGTAGATGAGCTACTAAAACGAGACATCTTGAGTCCCTCTATATCCGTCTGGGATATGCCTAACTTATCCTTTTAGGCTCATTTCTTATTAAAAAAAATAAACATGAATATATGTGTGTTGGATTCATTTATGTTCACAAACATCCTTATTTATTGTCTCATTTACTCAGTTCTCATTTCTTTTTCTTTTTGCATTTAAAATATTGACGAAAATAAAGATTAAATTGAATATAATGGAAACTTTGAAGTTAAAATTATGAATCTTAGAAATATAATAACTAGTTACTTAATTTCATCATTTTTTGACTTGCAAATAAAAGTAATAAAAAAGAGATGGCTGATTGTCGAATATTAAACTAACGAACAAATACAAACACCTTCAAAAATAAATTGAAAATATTTATTTTAAATGAAAGTAAATTGAAGATAAAAATATGTTAAATAAACAAACATAAATATGATATTTATTTTAACCTAAATTTTCTCTCAATATTTTTATGTCGTATTCTTCTTTTTCTTTTATTTTTGTTTAACCGACAACGACACCAATATTAATATTGGTTGTCGACTGTCGGTGATTTTTATTTTTCTTATTTTTTCATATTATGTCTTTTTTTCTTTTTTTCTAAATAAGAATTTTTGTCCTTGTGACATTTTTTTTCTACTCTTGTGGCACGTTCCTTATGGCTTTTGGTACGTTTTTCGTATACCTCTACGGTCGTGTTGGTGATCCTATTTGTTTTTTGATTGGTTTGCATATCACATCTTTAGTAAAATGTTGTTTGTCGATATAATTAATATTGTGTAGTAAAGCAGCCTACCAAATTATTTTGTTCGTTTTCGATCCGCTTCTTTATCATTCGTAAAAGTGTCTCGTTCGACAAAGATAAAAAGTTTTATGAATGTTAGTGGTCTTTTGATATTAGATGTCATTCTCAATAGAATATTTCATTTTTTCGTAGGTTTGAATTTAATATTTTAATTTTATGTATAAATTTTTAATGATTATTATCCTAATTTTTTTTATAAGTGTGTTGTAATTTTAATTATTTATACTATTTTTATTAATAAAAGTTAGTTGCCAACTTGCCATCGTTTAAGACAAATAAAAATGTCCCATTTATTCTCAGCTTTGCCTTTCATTTCGTCGCCTTCCTTTTACGAGATTCTCTAATCTGACTCCTCTCTTGCTTTTATTATAGCTTTGTATCTCTAATTGATTAGTTCTCTTCAAACCCATCATACAAAACCCTCTACAGAACCACCCATGGCGCTTGGCTCAGGAGGATCGAGTGTCGTGGGTTAGCCCTTCGATCCCCTTTCTCCATTCTTTATTTCCCTTGTCGATCTTGCGTTTTTATTAATCATTCCTAGATTCCATACATGGGTTTCGTAGATTTCGTCGCTTTTTCGTTATATGTGATCAGTGATTTGGCTAGTTTATGTGGATTAAGATAAGAAATTGAAAGGGTCCCTTTGTTTTTTCTATTGTTCTATGGAGTTATTGTTCATTTGAAGTTTTGGGTAGCTTTAAATTTCCGTAATTGTTTTTGGTTTGGTTTCATTTCTGTCATATTCGATGTAAAATATGTTTTTTGCCTAGCTTGAGTATATATTTAGCAATTTAAAGTATGTATCGTATGATGTTTTAATCTAATGCTGGATATTTTATTAACAAATTTGCTAAATTACATTTATATTTCTGCTGAGAATCTTTACATTGACAAATTCGAGGTCATGTAAATACTGCTATCATAAAGTTTTATGAGTGTTGATGGTTTATGTTCCAGAAGTGTCCTGAATTTGTTTTGCATGTAAACTTTTGAATCAAGAACATGATGAAAATTCATATTTCGTTGTGTATTTTTTATAATTGAAGTACGTGGTATAACCATTGATGATTATGAAGTTCTTTTGGTGTGTAAAATTGTTGCTATGTCAGGCTTGTAAGGGTTTAAATTCGTACATTCTTTGAACAGTTACCGTATTGGAGGGCTAATTTAGGTTATTATTAGAGACAAGTTATTATTCTCATTATTGATGCCACCTCTTTTTCCCTTTTATACTACCTGAACCGTCTAACTTCAAGGGGTTCACGCCTCAAACCCGAGGAGATTGTAAGAAACATTAATGACTTTGAAACAATTAAGCAGTGGCAGGTTGATTTATGGTAAGAAGGTGAAACGAATAATTTGTCATAATCTGATATGAAAGAAGCTTAGGGAGCTGACTCATTGGTGATCATTGAAACTAACTGAGACAAATTATTAATAAATGGAAGGTTTAATCTGATTATACTCGAGCAATATGATTGTTATTCATTTTAACATGATTAACCTGAAAAAATGTGAGTCGGATTACTTTTCGCACTTCTAGATTGGTGTTCATTGGCATCAAGTGCAATGCTCGAACTTGTTATAGTATTAGCTTTACATATCATGAGTATTATAAATTCTTTTTGCAGTGCCTCGGAACTTCAGATTGTTAGAGGAACTTGAGCGTGGGGAAAAAGGTATTGGTGATGGTACTGTTAGCTATGGAATGGATGACGGAGATGACATTTACATGCGCTCTTGGACTGGCACCATTATTGGTCCTCATAATGTAATTTGCTTAATTTACAGTCAAGAAATCATATATTTTGATGTTGTTCCTTTGGATGAAACATTGGGTTTGTATAGCCAACCATCTGTGAATATTCTGAAAACTTTGGGCTGATATGTCATTACCCTAGTACCTTATCGTTGCTCATGATTCTTTTCACAAATATTTTGATGTTTTGTTGCTTGATTTTATATTGATCATTTCGTACATGGAATTTTATTTCTTTCTTTGTGGGTGATTTTTGTTTTTCCCGCTGTCAGACTGTACATGAAGGTCGAATTTATCAGCTGAAGCTGTTCTGCGATAAAGATTATCCTGAGAAGCCGCCAAGTGTTCGTTTCCATTCAAGGATCAACATGACTTGTGTTAACCATGAAACCGGAGTGGTATACTAGTAATTTGTTTCATATCTGCATCTGCTTGTTGATCCTATGCTGCTTTTATTTATTGATTCTATAAACAATTCACTGGTTTGAGAATGGTGCAATCAGGTTTGTTTCAATTTGTAAACTGCCCAACCCTCAACCCCCACCCATCTCCTGCTTTCTTTCTCTGTAATGGAACTCGAATACTCATTATTCTGAAAGCAATTCAACTGTGCAGGGCACTCTGATTAATGCAACTGTATTTGTTTTATTTTTTAACAAGTATGCTTAATGAAACTAAATGACAATAATTTGATGGCATCTGATGGCAACAGGTGGAACCAAAGAAGTTTGGACTTCTTGCAAATTGGCAGAGGGAGTATACCATGGAGGATATACTGACGCAGCTGAAAAAGGAGATGACAGCCCCACATAACCGAAAGCTGGTCCAACCTTTGGAGGGCACCTACTTCTAGCTCTCAAGATTTTAGATGTCCTGGATCCAATTGCATTTCTGGTACGCAGTATATAGTTTGTAATGCTTGTTGATCTAAAGAAAATACTGGGGAATGCCTCTAAAAGCTTCTCCAATTACCTTTTCTTGGGTTCATCTTCATTATCCTTTCTTATCAAACTTTGTTGAGGGGATGCTGTATGATTAATGGGACTTTATCCGTGTGTCAAATATAAAAAATGCCCTTTTGATTATCGGTTTTAGCTCTACCCTCATTTTTTCCCCTTGATTTAGTAGAATTGCAGAATTTTCTTGTTCTTTGATCTATTTGTTCCTCTATGTACAAAAAAAGATCCAGGAATTTGTGTTACTTCGAAGTTCCGACAATCAAACAATTCAGCCTTGTTAATTGATCTATGCTTTGTGTCATGCTTCCAATTGAGAAGAAGTCCGAATTGAGGATGAATTTTGCTGTATGTTATATGCTTTTTTTTGGGGGTTTGCTTTTCTGTTCAATGCATGTTAATCTTTCCGAACCAAGCAGAAGGTCGAAGAAAAGAAGCAAAAAAATATGATTGTATTACAGGTGTGTCGTTGTTGCTGTTATTTTAGCGTATGATATTTTCCTTGCCATCTGCTATTGTATTACAAGTAGTTTACAAATGTAGTTGCCTCATTTGTGTCTTTTGTTATATTTGTTGAACTTATTTTTACATGTTTTTAAACATGTTTAGATAAACGCCACTTTTTAATTCGTGTTAAATATGTCTTGATACATTATTTATCTTAATTTTGTTATTTTTTATTATTTTAAATTATTTTTCTTATTAATGTAGTTTGTTAAAAGGGATGGAGTTCACCAACAATTAGTTGATCTAGTGGGATGATTATTAGATTCCTTAAACAAAGTTAGGAGTTTGAGTCATTGACAATTATGAATGGAGAAAACTAGATTCCTTAAACAGTTAAACAAGTGTGAAGTTACCTATAATCCTTTTGCAATTTCAATTCCTTTTACATATTTCTCTGAGTATTAATTAGGCCGTATGAATATAAATTCTTAAATCGAGTATCTTTTCTAGCTTGGTTGTTTTCTCTGGTCCATCTAGCGGGAGATGTGAAAGAATATGCTTTCCTTATTCATTAGTTCTTGCTTTCCACTAGATTAGTTTCCTTATCAACGAATGCCACGCAAGATAAATTTAAACTTCTATAAAACTAAAATAAATACTTCCATTCAAGAATATCCTTATGAGTAGGTACGGGTGTAAAATTTTATATTAGGGGTGAATTTTAAAATTTTAAGAGAGCACAAATTTATAAAATTCTAGAGACAAAAACAAATTATCAATAAAAATTTTTATCCTTACATATGAGTATTACCTTTCAAAGATAATTATATTGCTCCTCTCATGCTTTCTCCAAGCTTTTATCTTGCATTTGTCGGAAACTGAATATAACACCTATCCTCGTTCTTAATGCTCCATGAGTAGGAAGAGTGTTTTTTTTTATATCAACCTTGGGAGTGTAATTGAATCCACAACTAATTTGTTGTCCAGTACACTCTTGCTTTCATTACGGGGACAAATTTCTCTTGATCAATGTATTTTACTCTTGATTTAGAATAACCATGAATGATTTTTCTTGATATCTGCAAAATTCAATTAGAGGATTAAAAGACATTACTAATAAACTAAATGACTTGGTAACCAACGCTAAGGTATTCACAGTGATGGTCACTAAACACGAGTCAAGAAACTCAATTGCACATATCTAGGATGTCACCCAACTCACCCATCATTTAGATTGAAGCATGTGCGTAATTTATGGATGAAATCAAGATTCGATCCTACGTCAGCTCTTTAAGCCATCAACATTTGAATCTTTCAATCACAAGATGAATTCAGCAACCTATGAGATTGAAATCAACAAGTGAATAAACAATAAGTATGGCCAGCAATCAATATAAAGAAATACTCAAATATTAACTTATCTGGTGTATAGTGATGTACAAACCACGTAAGAAGTTTAATATAAATGAATTAGAGACTAAAAATATATTCTTTTATCCACCTATCAATATATATAGTGTGCAAGATTTTGTTTTTAATAAAGGAATGGGGTTCTGAAATGGTTCAACGGCGAAGGTGTTTTTGTCAGGTATGGCCAGTTGATATGAGCAAGGAACATGCAGAAGCGTGCATTATTGGGTTGAAGTCCTTTTCATTCCAGGTCAACTAGTTTGCAATTTGTGTGTCTAAAGGCTAAGATGGTTAGCATTATTGTCCCAAGTCTCTGTGATTTTAGTTGAAAATAGAGCCTGACCTATGATTCTACTTGAGCCCCTTCATTCTTCCCCTTTTATATTCACATACAATCATTTGAGCTATTTACGGAATTACAAGGAATCTCTCACCTCAAACATACAACCCAATGGATCATTTAATCTTTACAACCCCCATTACATTAATCCTAATTGTTAATCATGAAAACTTATTAGGTGGTCTCTACAGTATAAAAAGAATATTAATTTTTTAGAAGACTTAGATTCGAGCAATTGCATACATATTATGTAGTGTGTGTGTATTGTCTATTTACAAATAAAAAAAATTATAAACAAATACTACATTATAATCACCTCAAACTATTAAAAGAAATCCTAAACATGAAATGGAACTAGTTTACAATAATTCATCAGAATACATATTATCAACAAAAAAAAAAGCATATGAATTCATATAATGTTTTGCCTAATTTTTTGTGGTGATTTAATTTTTTTTAAAAACATTTTATATTTTAATATTTTAGATAAACGAAATTGGATGGATTGAAATATAATACAGAAAAGGACACTTAAACACATTCTTAAAACATTGAAAATAATTTAACACACATTGGCGAGTTGATTTGCATTACCTGAACTTTGAATTTAAATAGATTGGCCCACATTATTTAGAAGTATCAAACCAATAATATTTTTAATATGGATTTTTATGTATAAATAATTGGTTTTATGAAGTTTTTTGTATGTTCATTTATTCAAATAATATTCATATTATTTTTTATGCGTTTGAATAATATTAAATTTTTTTTATGTTATATTGTGTTTTGATATTTTATATAAATTTAATTCATAATTATCTAAATAAATTATTCAAAACACAAATATTTGAATAACACTTATTTAATACAATTAAACTAAAATTTTAATTTATTCAAATTAAAACCATTTTATTTTGTGTCTATCAACATCAGTTAATCGTACACGTTGTTTCTAAACTGACCGATTGAGATGTATACACTTTGCTACACTCATTTAGTTGAGATTTAATAACAATATATTTTTATTTATTTAAATTAATGACAAAGAATATTTAATAAAAGTAATATGTTGGAATATTCTAAATTATACTTTCGACCAATTAATTATAAAGAAAGTAATGATCTTCAATCAGGTGACTTTGATGCAGTTGGTTTCAGAAACCATATGCATAATAAGGAAGGATTTGAAAAAAAAAAACGATTTCAAGTAGTGAGAGTGAAATGAAAAATATTGTTTGAACTTGAACTTTTGTATGGATAAGTTTCGGGGACTGGAATGGACCACCGATGTAATATTAGTGTGTGTATATAAAATTTTTGTAAGCTGTCTATAAATTTAACCTTGTGACATATGTACTTTTTTTATATTTAATATTTAAAGTACATAATTAAAACCTTTTAATTGATACTTTCTCTTAGATTATGAGTTCAATTTTCATAATAGAAGTAAAATTCTCCCTCTCTCTTTCCCCTAGATAGAAATTGTTCAAAAAAAAAAAAATGATTCAACTAGTATATTTTATTTTTGTTGAACTCATCAAGTGGTTTTAATTGTTAAAAATAATTTTATTTTCTTTAAAGATTTTGGACTCGAGCAGTTGCATCTACATGGAGTGTTTGTTTTAATTATTTAAGAAAAAATTTATACATATATTATCTTATAATAACATTGAATTATTCAAAAAAATAGTAATATATTTTATTTATGTAAGCTCTTATATTCTTTTTTAAGTTAAATAAGTTGTCGTTAATCTCTTTTCTTATTTATCTTTGTGATCGGCGATGGCACTAGTCTTGGTACTAGTTGCCAACCATTGGTATTCATTATTTTTCTTTTGCTTTATTCTAGCGTATCTTTTTTTTTATTCTTAATAATTCTACATTTTTGGCATGTTTTTTTTCTGTCTCTATGTCATTTTTTCGGTTGTTTGGTCGTTGTTTTCGTTTAATTTTTCATGGTTGGATTTGACATCGTCACGACTGATCAATATGACACTTATTTGTTATCATGATAATCTTCTCTGCTTTGGACCCTCATATTGAATTTAGATATACGATTTGCGTTCGTGGATAGTATTTTCACATTACTCGATTCTAATTTGCGGTATGTTAGTGGTCTTTCAATAGCTTTATTCCCTTTTGGGGTTTATTTGCCGATGCAATTAGATCTATTCGTACTTATCTCTTGTTCGAGTTTATTTGGTTAGGTTTTTTTAAACATTTTACTTATATGGTCATTGTGTGATCTTAAGTGGCTAGTTTTCTTGTATTTAGAAAAATATTTTTATTATATGTTTAGTTTACAGTTGTGGTTGTAAACTTTAATTGTAATTTGAATATTTTCTATTTTAATAAAAATCAACAACTTTTATAAAAAAATAAGTTGCTATTCTTTTAAGGTTATTTATGAATGTCTTTAATATTAATCAAAATTAATAATAATTTTAATTTTGAAGAAATCATAATATTCAAATTAGTCATAATATTTCTAAGATATTAATGATTAATAAACATGTATAACATTAATATTCAAATTAATATTTAATTTTAAAAATTATTTAATTATTATATTAATAATATATATATGACATTAATAGTATATATTGATATTTAATATTCACTTTAAAATTATATGTAATAATATAAAATCTTGCGTATATACGTACCATTTATGATACGTAAACAACTTAAAAAATATGATATGTAAACAACTTAAAAAATATGATATGTAAACAACTTAAATAAGGAAAAGCTTTGACCTAAGTTGAAGTAGGATATTTATAGCGTCTATATCTCCAAGATAGATTTACTGATTTTAGGTTTATAAATTTGTAAATGATATTATCTGACAGATGTGTCTCTGTATAGTCAGTCACGCTTTAACTAAGGGGTGTTTGGATGGGGGAATGTGAGATTCCTATGGGAATGGAATC